TCGAATTAAAAAAGTAAACTAATTTAGTTTGCCATTATTCCCAGGAAACAAAAATATCTAGCTGTCGTTAGTAACTTGTGTTATACAGTGACTTACCGGGAAGGAAAAGTGTTCGTTTACGATATAAAATGCAGGGTAAATAAATGAGAAATATTTTGTATTTCAGTTCTTTGCATGCATGTATATATGTGATATAATGGTATACAAGTAAGATAAAGTCATATTTGTGAAGTTCCAGCTATAACCTCTGATGGTTTGAGGGTAGTGGTGACATGTACCCTATAAAAACCATAAATACAGTCCTGTGTGGACACGAAAACTATATATACAGTCCTATGTAGGCAAGACAACTATCTATTAGTCCTCTTTGGGACAATCAATCGCTGAAAAGTTCAACGTAATATGTCTGATGCCAAGCTGCATAACATTCAAATTCTGAGTTTGGAATGTCGTTACATCGGATTTTCTGTCAATTTCATACACATGTATTAACATTATACCGTACGGAATAAGTAAGATTCACATTCTCACCCCATATAACAACACACAAGTGAATATAGTATTACTTTAGTATGTTATATCTATAACCTATATCGAAGCAAACATTCGTCTTTATTAGTAAGGTAAAATGTAGGCTTTCACCGACATTATGACACGAAATTACTGTTAAAATAAAAAGAAATAAGTGGAAAATCAACATCGAAGGATCATGAGTCTGCGAATTCACGTGTTCTTAGTTTTAACATCTGTTACTCTTCTGTAATTACTTTTTGGTATTGCATATACTATAATTACACCAATGTTATGTTGAATATATTCTATAATTTCGGCTGCTCAGTTTTGAAGGCATAAAGGTGTTTTATAACAGAGGTACACGGTAAACAAAGGTTAATGTACAGACACATGACGGCACGTGTATTCAGTTGAATGCGTACTTATGTCGTAACGTAAACAAGAGACCATTTGGATATCCGGGATTATCTGATAAAGATATTGACCCTACATACAATTCAGCAGTAAACTCATATAGACTAAATTACTTGAAGATTTTGAGAGTTGTATTTCCTTCACTATTCAAAACAAATATCAATTACGTGTTTTGACTAACGATACGAAAATATTACAAAAGCGTTAGCATACAATAGTCTGGATTTTGATATTTTCATGTAAAAATATTCCTAGTACAAGACAGAATTTTTCATACATAATTTATTATTATAGTATTATCTCCGAAGCATTATAAACTGGCTGATGTATATATATCAAACGCGGATAATATAGGACAGGTTAATAAAAAAACAATTATTCGTATCTCCATACATAGCTGTAAAGGATGCATTGTGTTGATTATAAATATTTGATTGTTTTAACACAATTTGTTTTGACTCCTGCCCTTTACGGCCCTCGAACTCACTATCTCCGGCACCAAATGGTCTCGCCAACAAATTCTACAGCTGCCTTACAATTGCACCACACTGACATCCCCAAAAATGGATGTATGGAAGTTGCAGTGAATAGACAAGTAAACAATATCGACATGATCGTAGACAAAAATTGTCTAGTATGTTATATGAACACTAGATCACAATGTATATATGAAAATTGATCTGAACAAATATCATACGAGGTCCAATTACGACAATTAATGACACGTTCTGGTATCCCTTTCTAAATTAATAGATGACGAACCAAACAAAAATACACTTTGATTTCACGCGTCACGGCAACTCAAATCATGCATATATACTAGTCTAAGAAAAGGAGGCTGGGAAAACCTATGATTATGTTGTCATGTTGGCATTTTCTTGTTTATTTTTGCGGACGTCTGTGTGCGAGAGAGACGGGACATTGTGAACTAAGCACATCATTATATTATTTTAGAATAAAATGTAGAATTTTGAACTATTGCTACTAAAACTTTTAAATAAAAATAACATTCGTACTTTTTCAAAGTTTAAAAACACACATTCCGAGCTCAAAACAGGCATAATCACACCCCTATCTACGACAATAGAATAGAAAAGACACCAATTGTTGTCTTTTTTACCATCAATATATGTAGGTTTTTTCTTCACAACGACAAACACGTTTAAATAAGATAAAGATCAGCCTATTGGAGGATAGTGTTAAGTACCTAAATTTCATGGATCGATGATAAAGATATGTAGCCACGAACACAGTACACTACTGTAGTAAGTAAAAAAAATACCCTTATCATTAAAAAACATAGTAAGTAAGAATATCCTACCTCCCTTTTCGACACAGTTATCAAATGTAATAGTGTAAGTGTATGAAAAATTTCCTGGAGATGGAACGTTGTAAATATTATCTGAACATCGTTTCTTTTGTTTGTTCACTGGAATAGAATGGCTCATATATATCTCCTATCTGTAGAATGTAGATCCTTAAAGGAACTTTGAAATGCAAATAAAAATTATGATATTAACCTTACTTTAGATCATAATTTAATAACACTCGAATTAAAAAAGTAAACTAATTAAGTTCGCCATTATTCCCAGGAAACAAAAATATCTAGCTGTCGTTAGTAACTTATTTTGTTTTGTGTCATAGAGTGACTTACCGGGAGCGGCGCGCGCTTGAGACACACTTGATTCTTTCAACATCTCTCCAATAGCAAGATCATCCAAGGCCCCCCTCGGCTGTCTAACTTATCGCTATATCATCTACTGAGTGAAAACGATGGGAAGTAACTCTGGGAGATCAGAACGTAACATGATTTGCTTAAAAAAAAGATATCTAGTAAACATAACGTCTTTAATTATACTCACAATGTACACATTAACTTGTCACATCACTCATCACTACAACAATTCACAGACATCCGTTGGTCATTAACTTCGCCCTTTATAGGTTTTAAACAAGATTTCGGCATAATCTTCTACATATGTAGATTTCCTCGCCGTTTATTTACTTTACAACTAACTGTAACTACTCCCCACTACATTGTATCGAGAATGTATTTATTTTAGTTACTTTACAACTAACTTTAACTACTCCCCACTACATTGTATCGGGAATGTATTTATTTTAGTTACTTTACAACTAATTCTAACTACTCCCCACTACATTGTATCGAGAATGTATTTATTTTAGTTACTTTACAACTAACTTTAACTACTCCCCACTACATTGTATCGGGAATGTATTTATTTTAGTTACTTTACAACTAACTGTAACTACTCCCCACTACATTGTATCGAGAATGTATTTATTTTAGTTACTTTACAACTAACTTTAACTACTCTCCACTACATTGTATCGAGAATGCGTTGATTTTCACAACTAATGTATTGATCTACATTACTTTAGAATTAACCAGGAATTTTTCTCTACGAAGTTTAAACTACCGGTAAATAAAGCATGGTCCGAAACTTTAATTTTTGAGCATTGTGTGGATGCAGAAGTTCAGAGATAGAGGTAAGTAGCACGTGGTTTAGAGCTTCAATTTATCGATTTTTATATAGATTGATTGGAAACTGCTATTCAGATCTATCGGTAACTGATTGATATCGATTGATTTAATCATCGATTTGATCTTGATTGATTAGATGATAATTTTTGTTGATCGGGAATTGCAACTTACTCATGGAGTCATTGACTCAATCAGTCTCATTAATACTAGGAAGTTGTAGCAAAACATATGCCTTCAATAAATCTATTGAGTAGATTTGATCGTTTTAGTTTCCTTTGTATCGGAGATAAATATCTTTTCACAACAGGTTGAAAGGTGGGGTCAACATTTGGCCCCCACATAGATTTCTATTATTTTTTTTCCGCCATATGTAGATACATGAAAATAACCTACAACCGCATAAATAAATAGTCATTATAACTACTTATAGTCATACTGGACCTTCTTGTATAACAAAGGTACCCTAACATAATGACAAATACTTGCTGCATGAAAATATTTATATACAAGCCTAAAGTACATCAAATGACCGTTATTATGATACCACATATGTTATATTGGCATAAAAATGTAAGCATATTGATAACTTTGATTTAAAAAAATGCAACATTTTCGCAAAATAAGGAATATATCAAAGTTTGTCAAGTTCATTTCGTATAGTTTCAATCTCAGTCTATATTTCATGCTTCTTTAAAAACTTTCTACGTATATATGCTGTCTATTGAATAAATTCGAAGTGGTTTCAAAAGCGGTAAAATATATTTTGAAGATATGATTTTCATTGTTTTTGTGCCAAATACTACTGTTTTTCCAATTTTGTGTGGTACCAAATCACATTAAGTATTTTCTATTTGTTTTAAAATCAAATTTAGGATGTATAACCTAACATGGTGTTTTCTGCACTAGAAATCTCTCCTCTAAAGAACAACTAACAGTTTAGTTTGTATCATAAAAACTTAACAATGATTAAATAATCAGTATTACTGATAACATGTTATCATCATTCCACTTTTCTTCGTTTATCATTAAACATCACAATAATGTATATAAATTAGTTGTATGTTCTAATTAATAAATGAAACCAGAAATGATAACCTTGTCTGACACCTGAATGTGCAAGTATGTAAATTTCCTGAAACATCTAAAGGTATAACTATAAAGTATTCATACCAAGTATCTGTAGACAATTACATGGACAATGTTACACTTATGTGAGGCATTCTGTATTCAATTCAAATTACTTCAAATCTTCCATCAAGTTTACTAATAATCATGTCAGAGTGCAGATGAACCTGACCTTTCTAGGTGCAACAAGGCCAACTGGGTGAAACCTGATGCCTGTTCAATAGAGTTTCCAGTACTGAATATGGAATATTTATAACCAGTAACCTGCAGATCATACCAGTTGAAAGTAGCACCCAGATATATTGCTGAGCATCTGATTCCTGCTGGAGACTCTGAATCTATCAGCATGATGAAAATCTTCTCTGAGGCCAAACCCATTCAAGGCGCAGTCAAAATACAATGTTTGGATTGCGTTATAAAATAAATGATCAAGATGACCCTGTCAAAGATCACTACTGTGTCTGTCCAGCGGGCAAGCGAACTGTTGGAATGGATTTCCAACTGCTATTGATAACTCTGAATTAAAAGTTAAAAATAATTACACTTTACCTCTTAATTACCAACGTAGAATAGAAAGTTTATTTTCTTTTTAAATTAATATTAATTTATGGTATTTTTTTCCACTGATGGTGAACAAAGGTAGGTAGTCCCTCACAGAAGCACTGATGTAGTGAGTAATTCAACCAAGACATTAAGTAATGTACAAATAAACCTTTTAAAAAGCAAGTTAAGATTATAATTATCACACATAAAAAAATTCCGTTCAAGCTCGTTAAATTGATGACAGCCATTTTTTTAAACAATATAATCATATAATTATGTCCCTGAGTTTAACTACATTTAATTTGAAAAAAAAAACATAAACCGTTTGAAACATGCGGTATTCATTTTATTGTGTTCTCCTGTGCATCATTAACATTTGTGGATTGTTTGTAGTCAAATTAATTTACAACTGTTAATATCATTTCAAGCAGATGACAAGTGAAGCGTTCTTTGTGTAACGATGTGCTAGACTGGTTTTATCGCCAAGTGTAAGTGGTACACAATAAATATGGAAATCGAATAAATAAAAAAAAAAATAACAAAAATTAGATAAACAAACCTATCCCTTTAAACGTTGCTATAACACTATAATTCAAACCTCTGCAAGGACAAAAAGATGTATAAGAAAGGGAAAATATTTAACATTAATATTATACAGCGCTCCGTCTACGGGGTTTTCTATTGTACTCCAAATCATCAGATACGATCTTAATGGTATAATGGACCTAGGTAATATATAAAACTGATATTGGGTATAAAAACAGACGAGAAAATGTGGACAGTTGGAATTGAAATCAAACATGATAAACTAAATAGTATTTTCACAAACACGCGGATCAAGTGATAAAAGGTATATTTTGATGCTTTCCCTGTTTCAATCAGTAGTAATATTACTTTCCATTGGAGACTCCTCCATTACATTGTTTATATCACAGTACTTGTTGGACGATTCAGTACTAGACATTAATCCTATAGATTCTGTATTGGATAGTTGCCATCTGCGTATTCTGGAATTCAAAGTGTAGGCCTGAAATAAAAGCCAAATATAACATATATGAATTAACGTTAACATGAATTTGGATATCTAGGGAAACGCCCACTGCAGTATGTTATTAAGTCCTGAATTTATCCTTAAAATCAGCGCCATCAACCTCATACTTTAAAACATTATATAATTTTAGGTACGAGATTTCTATTAGGATTATATTGCATGTAATGTAAACAGCAGAAGATAGAATCTACAAATTTGTCGAACATTGGTCAATACGGATACAAATCTACAAAACAAGAGATTGAAGTGCGATACGATATGAATTTTATTAATTAGTATATGATCAAAGCCCCTTCTTATCTGGGCTTTAAAGTGAAATCTTGAATTCAAATTTTGAAAACACCTTTCGGACATCCAGTGCGTTCATCATGGCTCCACAGACCACTGCCGTGCAGGACATTATTATCAACATCAAGAAGAAATACTGGTATCTGCGCAGTTCCACCTCTTTCTCAATGCTATGAAATATTAAGTGTATAAAAACCGACATTTAACATAACGGTCATGTTAAGCGTTAAATTTGAGACGAATTCAAGAAAATATCATTCTATTATTGCTGGGCACAAATTAAAGCATTTCTTTGTAAATGGTATGGTATTAATATACTGAACATTCGACGACTTATTTTCAATACACTTACATATCGCCTTTCTCTAATAGATATCCAGATGCAACCAACGCCAGGGATGTAATGATGTTAACCATTACGTACATCACTCCCCCAAGAGTACCCACATATTTTGGTGGAGACAAAGCCACGAGAAGCTGCCACATCATAACCTAATATAAAAATGGCAGATTATGTTTACAACGATATGCTGTGGTACTACATATACATGGTAACTGAACAGTTACAAGACATTAGGACATTTCCGTTGAGATTCTCAAGCTTTACTCATCAACATTATGTGTATATATCAATTTGATCTATTTTACAGCAATTGCAAAACAATCAAAAGGAGCGTTGTGAATGAAAATTAGTTTGTCAGTTTCGAGTTCATTAGCGAAGAAAAACACGAAATTTTACCCAAATGTTATAAAAAAATCTTTCATTAGTGAAATGAGGGACAAAAAAAGAACAATTAACGCCTTGATTAACGACCAAGTTAATGGAATTAAAGATAATGTATTCTCGGAGCGACACCTGCTGGGGAAATCTTGGTAGTCCAAAGTTAGTTATGTTAACCATGAGAAACAAACCTAAAGCAGGTTACTATGACAAACTAAATATTAAACATATCTTCATAACATACAAGGAATAACGTTATATCCCGATATGATCATGATAGTGACTATACAAAATCCATGTAGTCTTAATCTCTTAGGACACTGACTTACAAATCACAGAAGTGGGGTATTGGAAACAAGCCAATGAAATTAGGACATATAAACATTGCTGATTGGTGAAGCATCAAGAAATAAAAAAGTCACGGTAGGCAATCAAAGTGATCATGCTTATACATCGTAGCCACGGTGGGCTACCTCGTCAATACCTACATCATGTACCTAAAAGAAAACAGATAATTGACGATGACATTCTGCACTTTATCTCCTTAGGTGAAATTCATCGTTTCCTCATAAAAGTTTATTTCTTACCTGCATTATTCTTTGTCGTTGTACAAAATATTTGAAAGATGCTGTTTATCTCGGGTCGTACAATACTGAGGTGTTTTTGACTAAACACGAGTTTACAACGGGAATACCCTCGTTATATAAAATATCCAATTGTAGCCACGAGTATACTCAGTCAAATGTGACTTACCAATCCATATCAATGTATTTGTTAACGCCAAGTACGATTGCCATAACTTTCTTTTCTCTTCATATGATCGTATCGATATTTCCATGGTCATATATTTTATCCTTACCGTAAGAATAGTAATACCTATTCCATCTCCTATGCCAATAATGATAACGCTAACACCGGGACAGAATCCAATTAAGGCGTAGAATGGCACCATCCACATTAGAAAAGTCATGGTCATAATTCCGTCACAGTCGATATTCTTCTGTAATAGAATCAAATCGTCAAAACAAATAATGAAAAATGTTACCATTTGTCAAGGTGTTAAAGATGAACTGCCAAAAATGATGGGAAAAAGGCTTTCAAATGAACTAATAAATAATGATATATCTGAAAGGTAAGTCTTAAATTGTATGATTTCTTTGTTGTATTCCGTTATAGAAAAAATGCTTGTGTTTCTTCAGAAACTTAGAGCTTTTGACCTGTGGTTCTTTCGCAAATCGGAACCAAATTGTCCGTTTCTATTCACCTTGATAAGCATTCGTTTTGTCTTCATACGGATGAAACAAAATTGAATCAATCATGACAAATAATCATGAGGGAATGCAACCATTTAAATAGAGTTATTACGGAAGGTTTACAGTTCCTGGTAGATTAGTTATATTACTTACCAGTACTGAACATAAAACGGGACTCAGTAACAACATAAGTGATGATATACCGGTTATGTAACTCGCTTCGCTCATGGTATAGCCATATCGTAACTGCAAATAGTCTCTGTAATGATAGAACTTCACGATAGTTTAACATGGACTTTACAATACTGATTTATTAATTGTAAACATCCTACACGTACACTCGAAAGACATCACTAAATTATGTAATCATATTTGATTACCTTATCGGTGGAATATGATGTTTAAAAATATATTGAATTCCACGGAAGTTTATGTGTCGCCTGCCCAGCAAGATTTCTGGAGATGTGTTATATGGAACAATAGCCATAGATATTCATTGTATTCATATCATTTGTAAAATTTGTCCATTTGTTTGAGATGTGATGAATAAACCCGCAGATTAAAAGCATTGTGTCGAAGGGAATTCCAAGCAAGCACTTCTGATAAGGAACTCTGTATGATGTTTGAGGTAGATCGGACAAAGTGTACTCAAGTTATCGCGATTAAAGAAACAATTTCCTATTTATAGTGACAGTGACCTTGAAATGTGACCTTTGGATCTGAAAAGCAATCCCCAAAAAATACTTCTGGTAAGGAAGTATATGTGAAGTTTTAGCTTGATCGACCAAAGTAAACGTCGCCAATATAATAAGTAGTACATATAAGTCGCCTTGGCAGGCGACACAAAAGCTAGTTAGATTGTCAAGTATTTGAGGAATTGAAATATAACATCATGTGAAATATGACAGAGCAAAGATAAAAGGACGTATATAAAAGGCAATACAATAATAGTAAGTGATCCACATATTATGCGTATAGAAATACATCGTACTTATTAAAGGATGCATTCAAAATATGTCAAATAAAAGTGAAACTATCAAAATGTGTGTTGATGATAGTGTAAATATTTAGAATTACTAACATTACGTCAGTTACGTTTATTTATCATATGGCAAGGCATCATATTGACATTGATCGGACCATGTATATGACTCAAGTAAATAATGTAATGGCCTGTGCATATCATTCTCTCTGGTAGTTGTACTAAGTTGATGTACATGAGGTTTATACAGAAATACAACATGACTTGCCAACTGACTGATGGATTATAACCATTCACATGTATACCACTGACAAATGAGGTTTACAGAGTTCTTACGGCAAATTCACTTGTTTTGCAATCCAACAGGCAGTCACTAGTCCAATAGCCATAACATACAACCAATACGATACCGGCAACATGCAAATTTGTCTCAATGTCTGAAAGATAATATATATCAATTTATAATAATGCAGAGACATGGCGCCACCTACAAACGATACAACCATAGATTTATTTACAAAACGGTAAACGTTCGCATTTAACTTTATTGGCATGTTTCATGTTAAATCAATTTCTCCTGAAAAAAATCCGCATCGCGAATGATATAAAATTTGACATTGTTTTCGGACAAATTCGGTTTTCCTCATTTCCGTTACAGGTTTCATAATCTAAGCCTTTCGTGTCACTTAGACACCAAACAGGACGGAGCCGTAACTTGCATGCATTTTATTCGAATAGATAGACTTAGTTCAGTAAACACCCATTTACCTGACTTTGTGAAATTATCAACATAAGAACATTACGAAATTTATGGAATTTGGTGGAAGATGCATCTAGAGTTTAGGATTAAATGCGTTCACTTTTGTTTTCGTTCGTCGATCAATAGATTTCAAAATTTGAAAATCAGTTTCACTGGAAAAGGTGAAAAAGCTGTATGAGACAGTTTAGTTTATTATTTGGGTCTACATTATATAAACCCCCTGAATTTATATTGAGTGGCAGTGCTCATTTCTGAGAATTTTGTACAATAATTAATTTGAAGTTTGGAAATTACAATCAAAAACCATGGTTTAAGGTTAATGTGCAGCCCAGCTGAAGTAACTAGTGATATAACTTTTTCTTTAAAAATTCGATTCTCTTTAAACTTTGATATGCCATATATCTTTTAAGTAAAAACAATCTTTGGCCATTGTTTTCTTACCAACATTTTGTTGTGACAATCATCTGCTATCGGGAGTGTTTTAATATGAAGAAGGAATGCTAAGCCAACAGCACATACAACTCCAAATCCACATATTACTGCATCTGTAAACGACAGCAAACGTGCTTAGCGCATGCGCTTGCTTAACCTACAATTTTATTGCTTTGCAGAGATGTTATTTTGCTTTGAACTTGAACTAAAAAGCTCATACATAGCATTACGTATATTTAAATATTATTAGCAAGTCGTATGGTTTCGTGAATTCAAAGATGGTATTGACAACAAATGTGTGTTCTATATCATAGTGTCCACCTTACGATTTTATCAGTTTATTGCAAGCATAATATAATGGATTGTGCTGTTGTTCTACCATATGTTGATAATGATAATTATGTACTGATTGGTTCCATTGTCCAATAGTAACGTCTTAATTAGACATTAGCTTTTGCCAAGCTAAAATGCCTTAAACAAATAACATTTTACCAAGAACTACTGCAGGCACTAGTCCTATAGTCGTGGCAACGGTCGGTGTGACAAACAAGCTAATGGCTTGTCCGGAAAATCCTAATGTGCCGAACGCTAGGGGGATGAGTGTGGACTCCGGGAAGCAAAGGGCAACGACTCTTGTTTGAACAACTGAAATAAAAAAGACAAACTGATAAACAAGTATGATGTATTCATGATGAAGTAAATGTCAGTATGTTGATTCCAATGTATATATCCTTCCATGTGAAAGATGAATCAATGGACTAAGAAACCAGAGTGCTAAAGAGAACTGTAAAGAAAATGGAAAGCAATGTATGATACCAACGTCATATACATTATATGTATATTATTATTGTACATCATATCAGGTAACATTGTAAACGGCGAAACAAGTAGAAATAAACAAGATAGTACCAACATGTGAATATAATCATAAAACAAAAACTCGATTCAATAAAAGTAAACCTCAATATGAACAAAAGAAAGAAAGTAACTTTTGTGGTTTATCACAAAAGAACATGAAATATCGCTGCAGATATGGACATAGGATGCAATCATATGATAACACTCAGAATCAGTAATCCGTATTGCCGTAAAATATATAGTGTATCCTAAGCACATACAACGTAGAGCTCCGTCTCCAAACGCCAACAAGCAATACCCTATCAACATCAGTATGTACATAGGCGGAGTCACTGGGGCATCTGAAGTGGTTCCCACGATGAAAAGGATTGATCCTATTAGTGGCAAAATGCTGAAGAGAATCGCAGAACCTAGAAAAACGAGAAAGGAAAAAGATAGACTGATTCGGTGGTTCTTCGCCTTCATAACGAGAGAGTCACGTATACATACCATGTGACTAACCGATACTTCATCGACAACACATACAATGTAGATCGTGGTCGATTGAAATAATATTTCTGTTGGTCATCTTAATTCAACCTTTGCACCGGTTATTTTAATTGAAAGCATTGGACATTATGGACTTATGTAACCGTAAGAAAACACAAGATTAAAGAGTAGTGGAATATTGGCCTGTACGCACAGCTGGTATTGAATTTTAATGTTAATGATAATTAAATTCAGTAGCTGATTTGTCAGCTCTACGTATGTTGCATACGCGAAACAGGTGTTAAACGAAAGATATAACAGTACGAGGATTGCCTTTTATCGCCAGAGAATCGATGAAACGAAAACATGAATTACTCCACATATCTCAACAACTGAATCTCATATAAAATTCTATATATATGTGCTATTTTAGAACTGCTCTTGGAAGCACAATATGATCAACAGATATGACGTACTTACAACCATTTCCTAGCTTGTCGATTAACACTCCTGAGGGCAGACATACGGCTATTGAACTGTCAGTAAAATATGGGTTAAATTTAATAGTATTGGGTTTTCAAATTATTTTCATGACGGACTAAAAATTAATAATGCTTCAATGATCTTTTTATGAATGATTGGTAAGATTTGTCTACGTATGATCCCAACAACAATATATGAAAATGATTATAAAGGCATTATTTGATAACCTGACCTCAGTAAGGTGTAATAAAATTTACTAATTCTTTAACTCTTAATGCGATGTCAATCTACGAGCCAGTTCCACACTTACGTCCATCTTGTGACCGCGTAAAGTAGGTTATAACGGACCTCTCCGAGGCCTAGGCATACTTTACAGCCACTCTGGGTACTCGTGCCATTGGAACTGTTGAAGAATTGCTGTAAAAAAGGAAACCTTTCACATTTCGCAGTTCAGATACAAACCCATCCATTGTCGACATAAATCCTGAAAAGAATCGATCGATAAGCAGCAAAATAAATAAAGAAAAAACCGTTATCTACGACATAAAATGTTAATATAAAAATCCAACCTTCCGGAAATGATTTATGTACATTGTATGTCAGGTGTGTGTCAATTAGTGTTCTGTTGTATAATAGATCCACATTAATTAAAGCCAAATGTGATCACTATTTACTAAGTAGTATTATTGTGTGTTATGTTGTAGAGAAAACTGTGACTCTGAATTCTGTGTTGTAGCGCAATAAACAATCGAATGCCGTATCTTAATGAAAACTTATTTTTCTAGAAATACTAATTGTGAATGTAGATATCTGTGTAGATAGGCATGGCGAACCCCACTCACCACTGTCATCAGGCTCAGAGTACAGTGGAAAGTTCGCCTTAGCCGGCGTGTCGTCAAAAGAGTTCGAACAATAGACAATTTCATCTCACCAACCAGTAGATCGTCCTCTCTGTTGAATGAAATGGATTTATTTACATTGCATTTCAGGTGAGTGTCAATTAGTGTTGTGTTGTATAATAGATCCACATTAATAACGAGCCATATGTGATCACTATTTACTGAGTAGTATTATTGCGTGTTATGTTGTAGAGAAAACAGTGACTTTGAATTCTGTGTTGTAGCGCAATAAACATATACTTGACCATAACATTGGGACCATCAAATGCTGTATTTTAATGAACACTTATTTTTCTAAAAATACTAATTGTGAATGTAGATAGGCATGGCGAACCCCACTCACCACTGTCAACAGGCTCAGAGTACAGTGGAAAGTTCGCCTTAGCCGGCGTGTCGTCAACAGAGTTCGAACAATAGACAATTTCATCTCACCAACCAGTAGAGCGTCCTCTCTGTTGACTAAAATTCAAAAACAAGCAAGACTGTAATGGGCACGTGAACATCGGTCATACTAAGTCTTGGCGAAGTGTCAACTGGTCTGATGAAGGCTTCTTTTCACATATTCTGACAGACGGCAAGGTCCATTTTTGGAGACAAAGAAATAACGCATAACATGAGAGTCACATCTGGGCACAACAGTATTTGACTGTTTGGGAATAGCTTTTCTCTAAACTGTAGGCTACACTTACATGTCCTTGATGGAACTCTTAAATTACAGAAGTAGCAAGATTTGACCATTGTTCCGCATTTTAATACCCGTCCATTCGCAAATCGACCTACCCTAATGGATGGCAATGCAAAACCACCCGGAGCCCGGCTAGTGTAAGACTCTCTTCAATGTCGCTAGATATGGATTAAATAGAGCATGCATGGGACTATACTGGGAAAAAAGCACGGGATCCAAAATGCCAAACAGTTGTAGAATTACGGACTGCATCAATTCAGGAGCCTCTCAGTAATGATATAAAAGACACACAAGTGAATAGCGTCTTTCAATACAAATTTCGAATATAATACAGGAGAGTCAAATAAAATGGTTCACTTATCAGGACCCGTCAATAATGCTTGGGAATAAAATTTTAAAACTTCGCAAGTCACTGAGAGGAAAATCCAAATTAATAAAAAAAAGGACATAATCTAGAAAGGAAGATGCATGCTGTGGCGTCTGGTCAATGGTATGAGACGACGAGCATAATATTTTTACAAGAAACGTGGTGGCTATGCTAGATATTGACATTTTCATACAAAAAAGGACCTGTTTTGGAAATGTCATTTTCAACAACTCTTTTTGAAATGATACAATACTGCTGGTTCCTTAGATTTCTTTTCCTATCGGTATTTATCTATCCTCTTATATTGCCATTGAGAGTTTTTCTTAAATAAAACAAAGAAAATTCAAACCAATCTAAGATATGAGTGATCCCGAACTTATGGCCAAGTATATGTCTGAGAGGTGATATTTCACTGACTAGATATTTGCATACTTACATGATTATACATGATCTCACGTTGCAGTGCATTTGCGGTTTCTATGAAATAATAAACTCCCAAAATCATCAAACTGTTGCAAAATAACACTCCATATCGCCAACATTCTGACAAATTAAAAAACAGAAATATCTCGATATAGCAAAGTAGATTTTAGATTTTGATTTTGGGTTTTATCCAGTGTAATCATACGGTTTCATTTTCTCACACGTCGTATTGAAGTGTCATTTTTGTGATAGTCTGCAACTTAAAAGGCTGCCTTCGTTTTATCATTTTGAATTTTAGAGGTTGTTTTAAAAATAGCGCTGATATTTCTGTCCTGTCCTGCAGCTGTAAAGTTAAAGGTAATGTATTTTGTAACTTTTGAAAAATGATTAATTCAGCTGAAAAGCATGCTATTTATAACAACCACTTGTTGAATAAGTTTTAAGTACTGTATTCATGTGATAGATATGCTAGAAAATGAGGTTAATGTTAAACATGGACGAGCACGCCAAAACCAGTAAGTATGTAGCTATCTCTTAAATTTAGTGAACAGAGAAGAAACCGATAAAATATATCTTACATCAGTCAAAAGTGTGGCTTTCTTCAGATTTTCATTAGCGACACCAGTTTTTCACTAAAGTGAAGAATAAAAGGAGCATTGTTCGCTGTCTAACAGTACGATGAGCAGAGACATTTAGAAACAAACATTAATCGGTCTACAATTTGCTACGACACTACAGGTAGCCCGGCCAAGGTAGGAAGATCAATTTCTTTTTTTGTCATGATTCAACGTTAATCATTTTGTGGTTAAGTTCTACTTATCAAACCCCTTTTAGCAATGACCGACTTTTTTAGTTATTATATCACGTACTAACAATGATTGCTCTACAATAATTTTTGATGAAAAGATACTAACGAGTAAATATAGGGATTGGATATAACGTGCCCCATTAAGAATATATTCATATATTCCATATAAAAGCGTGGTTAACATTAAACTAAACTCCTATCTCCATGTATCAATGTATCGATCAATTATTAAGATAGCAAAGCAAAATTAATATACTGTAATGTGTTATCAGTCAACAACACAGTCCAGATTCAAATGGAGATTGTACAAGAGACACAAGTCAATAGCACATTTTGTTAAATAACATTCAGGCCAGATACAGTACAGGCAATATACAGCTATTATACAGCAGTTTTTTTTCATTCTAGGACTCGCCAGTGACGCTAAGGTCCTAAATATTGTCAGCATGAAAAAGGCCACACCCAGATGTGAGTGTTTAAGTCTACCTTCAACATGTTGCTTGTTACGCATCAGTAATACCACAGGCCGAGCTCCTGAAGAAAGGAGACATTATGTTTACGTCACAACACACCTTTGAGAAGATATGACCTCGTGTCTTCTTCACAATGCTATACCTGTCAGAGCGATAGAGTAATGTCTCATTTCACTATATTTACCCGGCAGAGCGTGAGACCGAATGTCTGCTTAAATAACTAACAACTACCCACCATTCATGATATCAAATCAAATTCTAGTTTAAAGAATGACACTGGTCAGAGTCTGTTATAATTTGTCAAAACATTAGATCATATGTCTAGCTTAAAGTATGGCACAAAGTCCAGAAATTTGTATGATATTCATGTACCTATTTTAATGTTATTTGTCAATGCCCGACACACAAAGAGACAAGAGTCAGACTTTATCGAGAATAAAATAAAGGTGGTTAAGTTTATTGTTTATTGATAAAGACCACTTGAGTGCGATGTTTCAGACAATGAATTCATTAAAACTTTTTTTCTAGATCAACCGAACATGAGAGGCAATAAAAAGCATATACTAAATGTACTAACCACCGCTATGATATCACTTTGACTGGAGCCTTATAACAGTGATGCACAGTTATGATTAACGTGTGTTTAAGGAAATGCAAATCGTTCCTATTTAGAAGATTGTAATTAGTTATTCTCCTGTATGCAATGGTAGATATAAGAACATATCATAATCCAAATTTTATAAATCTAGGGCAAAATATGAACAAAAGAAGGAAGACTTCTGAAAAAGTTAAAAGGGAATAAGATCAGGTGTTCTAGAAGAGTAAGTGTCTTCCGCTTCATTGACAACATCCGTAATCTTGGTCAATCCAGGTAAGAGTAATGCTACGTCCGCAAATGAAACAAGGAAACCAACAAGCAAAACTAACGTATATCAAACACACCAAGTTTCATGTTGTGACGTAATGGTATATGGAGTTAAACAGAATTGAAAAATCAAATGCCTTCATAAAAATGTTTTAAGAAGATATTGAAAATTGGTTAAAAACTCTTCGAAGTTCTTTAGAATCTAAATACTATTAATTCGACGTCATGAGTAAAAAGTACAGTACTAAGATTGTTGGTTAGTAGTTCAGACAAAGGCTTGATTGATAAGCTAGATGAGCCAGCAATAAAACGTTGTTTATATAAGATTCTTGTAGAATCTGGATAATTAGAAAAAATTCTTATCAAGATTGCACAAAGTAGTTCATGCAAGTGCACATGCTTCTAAACAAGAAAGTCATACAATTAGCTTCTACTGACAAACATGAAGAATGATAACTATACAGGAATCACATGTGACTACGCCAATATTGGATATAGAAATTTAAAATCGTATTCATATACACATGTATTATGATAGAAATATCGTTATTGTACTTGCAGTCAAACATTAAAGTCAAGCGTAACGACAAAAACAACATTGTTATCAGCCACCAATTCCACATTTGATATCTCTATTCAAGTTATCATTTTAGTTTTGCTAAGACTACCTTTTCGGAATTTAATAACGATAATGACATCAGAGCTAATATAAGGTGACATGGTCGGAAAATCTACTTGTAAGTAAATATTCAAATGCATTGTAATAACATCATCAAAAATTCAAACTCTACACATACAGACCATATATAGTCTTACCTGTCATCGTCAGTCAGCGCACTCACCTTTAGTACAGATAAGTACCCGTTGTTGGTTGATATGAAAATAAATCGCCATGACGGTAACCCGTCACGGATAAGTTAACATTTGAAATAGTGCATATTTTTCCATACTGTACTTTAGTACACAATTTTTTTATACAAACTATTATCTCTCTATTATTCAGCAATAAGCTTGGCTAGTTATCACTTTCACTTTGTACATACATGCAAGTGAGTGATACTTGAAAGAACGAAAAAATGGATTGAAATTTTAGATATAAAAAAATGTTCAATATGATATTTCAATTACATGCGTTTTGCGATCGCAGAGATAAGGTTTGGAACTGTAGAGTACATAGATTTAATAATCTTTAAGAGGATCCAACAACATAAAAGTTCTATATTATAATCTAACTGCTATAATTTTTGCTACACATGCTTTATACACCGTAGAGTGACATCTGTTGAATTTATATGCATAATTAATCTGATCTATGTTCCAAAGAAGATGTTCTGTATAACTGAACATTATTCGATATTAAATGTAATAACGTAATGCAATATCGCCATCGAGAGAGAGTGGGAAGGTCGGGTTCCGATTTAGTTCACATGAATGGCTGTGGAAAAAACGTGTCAAAAAGTCAAGGTAAATCAAATTTCTCTTTAGAATCGTTACATGGCAGAAGCGATTTATGTGAAGCATAAACTAAATGTTCAGTCTTTTTTCTTCATAGCACAAGTGTTTGAGTTAAGTGTCTGAACAATAAGTCATTATGTACTTTCACACATGGTTAGACAAAATATCAGTATCAGTATTTAAATCAGTATGGTCAGTAATATCAGAAATAACGACCATAGGTAAAATATATTTTGATGTAGATAAACGACATAAAAAGACATTATAATAATAAATGCCGAACAAAAAAGATATCACATTGCCTTTTATGACTTATCATCCTTATCGCTTTCATCTAAAAGTCACCGGAGCGTTAAGTACGAATATATCAGAGCTTACCGAACGCGTCAGAGTGTAATCTTCTTACAGAATATTGTGCTTTCCTTACTGCACCGGGTAAGATGCAGGTTGATGAAGACTGTAGAGAAGTCAGGTCGACATCATAATGTCGGGTTATGAGGACTTTTGTGACTGGTTCAGCGATTTAATTATTCAGTGTTATAAGACACTTAAAGTATAACATGTGGGTGTAAATGTAGGATACCACTTTAAACAGATATCAAATTATTTTCGTTGAAAACCACAAGATATTGCATGTGTAATATAGATCATGTACATGATTTCTTGTAGTGTGAAGAATAAGGCCAGGTGCTCCGGAAGATTAAGCGTCTCTTTGCTTCATCGATGACATCCGTCATGTAACACTTGGCCGATAGTAATGGCATTTTGACGATCGTAAAACTTCCCAATGATTTTCATCAATCGGCATCTTTTGAATGCTTTTTTTTTTCTTGCGCGAACATCGGGATAATGGGAACAGAACCTTGAATTTGCATAAAAAAAAGTTGCTATTAGCTGGTGTATCTGTTGTTTCCGATCTATGCTTTATGAAATGCTGTTGACGTTATCACGATATCCGTGCGAGAATTCGTCATCTGATGGACAAACTCTTAACACAGGGGTTCAAATGGTGCGGTTTGATGAAAATTGTGGGATTCTTTTATAGTCGCAATAGTGATCCCATTGAGACTTTTGTATATCTTTATGTGATGTTAAGCGGGACTTGTTTGGTGTTCGTTAGTTTACATATTGGTTCCGTTGTTGTATACTTTGTTCTCATTTGATATAGTGACATTTCTTACTTGGATTGACCAAAGTATGCATGACGGGAGTCGTTGATGAAGTAGAGGGCATTTACTTTTCCGGAACACCTAGTCTTATTCTTGTCACTTTTCTAGAGTATCCGTTTAAATCGTTCTTTTGTTCGTATTTTGCCCTACTTTATGAAATCTGAGTTTGAATTATGACTTATCATATTGGTATTTTGTTGTTGCTGTGTTACGAGTATGAAAGAATATCTTTGTTTTTCACGAATGCAAAGTACGTATATAGATATAGATATAAAAATATAAATATATTCTGCAATACTCGTGAAATATATGAAGAACAAGTAAGAAATAAGAAAAGTCGATCCAAACATAAATTAAAGCTGTATTCAACAAGTATTAAACATGTTTTTTTGACATGGGATAGTTTGATATTATATAAGGCGATGTCATATTTAATTGGATGTTTTTCGTTGTATTCTACCATTTGGTACAAAACTGTTTTATATCCAAAATTAGAGAAAGACCAGAAGTGTAAATGGAATGTGTTTGATAGAAAACGGACTTATTCTACCTTCGATTCATTTGCAGTTTACCAAGAGAGAGGAATCACACAACAACAAATAAGTGTGAAATAATTTCGTTTTTTTATTTGTGTAGTCAAAAAGTACGAAAGTTACTGGAAAAGTTATATCATCACCGACAAAATATAAAGGCATGATCCATCTAAAAACACGTGTTTTTAATTTTTTTTTTTCATGTGACTGTTCACGGGGTAGCTGAAGTGTAATCCCACAATAACTAGGCATCAATTCGTCTTCCCCAATAAATCATCATTACATACGCTGGTTGCAGCAGGCGGGTCATTGGTCATTGTGTCGACATTTGTAGACTTCATTCTGAAATAGTTGCTGGACGGTTGAACCATTGACAAAAGTCCTATAGCTTCGATATTGCTTTGCTTCCATTTGCCTATTCTAGAATTTAGGACGCTGGTCTGAAACACAAAAAAGTTGTTGACTTAACATGTCTGTGAAAGTCATTAGATACGAGATTTTGAAAGATATACCAAATGCCATTGTCATTTTTTTGCATATTCAGTATAATTTACCTTTCGGATATCCAGCACATTCATCATTATTCCAAAAATTAATCCCGTTGATGACATTATTATCAACATCAGGAAAAAGTGTTTATAATTACGTAGTGCTTCTTTTGTGTCTGTCCTGCAAAAAAAAAAAAAAATGAGAAAATCGCAATTGAAATTATGTTCTAACTGAATTTATTGAAATATTAATACCTTTTCATTTATGCTTTAAAAGAAATATAGTTTACTGCAAGACGAAATAAACAAGAACACATCACTGTGAAAGAGATATCCGCACTTTAGTTGGGCAGGATATTTATCAACTGGCTGATTTACACATGTAGCTGTATACGAATAGACAAATCGAATTACTCACGCAGAGTGATCTTGTATTATGTACCCTGTGGCAACAAATGTCACGGCTATGATAGTGTTCCTCAATAGGTACATCAACCCAGTAAGCGTTCCAACAAACGATGCGGGACACATAGCAACAAGTATTTGCGGGAGCAGAACCTAGAAATACGAAGAGTAAGGTAGCAGCAAGATAATACAAATCGACAAAGAGAAATATACAAACACACCTGGTACAATGATTCAGACGGGTTAAGGGTATGATAAACTTATGCTACATTGATACGAAACGCATTGTGTTGTTTTATAACTGCATTTTTTCTATCTAATTGCTTTAGATCTCTGACTGGCTTTGACAAAATGCACTGTCTACCTGTAATCGATGAAAACCTGATTAAGAAAGTCTGCAGGAATTGTCTACAGCATCTCTAAGCCAAGATTCAACCCTTTAATACCAATTCAAACGTATGATACATATATGAAGGTAAGAATTTATTTGTTCTTTTTCCATACCTTATTAATTCACAGGCCTAAGATGAGAGAGTCGTGCAAAGTACACGCCCATGCCTTAACCTACCGATTACTAGAAATATTTTGGAGGAACAGCCTTTGAAAAAATTATATCTAAACCATTATATTTTAACCGATTCCAGTGGTTATCCACTGATATCATATCTCTCAAATGTGCGATAAACGTGGAGTTGATTTAGTAATGTTACATTCGAAAACGAGAACAAGAACAAAACTGATAAAGGAAGTCATGTCGTGGTGCAACCCTCTGATTATGAGGCGTGGCGGCGGCCATCTTAATTAACACGTGGGTCATTATTTATTTTCAGACGTTTCATCTCTTGAGTTCTGTACATGGTTATACTCGTTCAAGGAGTATTTAAATCAAGTTCATTGACTCACATCTCAGTCATAAAAGAACACAATGTTTGCGTGTTTGCCCTCGAAGTAGATCTTGCTATTTCAAAAGACCTGTAATAAACGCGTCGTTTTGGTTGAGTCATTTATCAAATTAAACATTCGAGAGATGCACTCAATCTTACTTTGAATGTACTAAAACGGGTTGATATTGCGAAACGTACTTAAAAAAATAGACGTTATTACACTCACAACTTCAAAAGATAAACATCACAATCAAGCCGCGCCCATGAGCGGATGGGAGTTGACAGCAAGCTTGGTAAGATATTAGTTGATAATGACAGTTTAATTATATCGGGAATTATTCCCTCATTAAGTTTTCTTCACATTTCGACATACTCGGATCGTTTCATTAAGGCAGTGTCCTTTGACACTCGTCAAACTTAAATTACTTAACTCCTTTACAAATCGCAGTCAGAGAAGGTAGAGATGCTATCTTTGCAAACTTACTGTTATTGCACAAAGGCCTATTCCATCTGCAAAGGCTATTATGTAAATGTTGACTGACGGACAAAATCCAAGGAACGCATAGAATGGTATCATCCAGGCCATAAAAAACGTGATCAAGATCCCGTTGCAATCGATAAGTTTCTAAAACAAAATCAAGTAAACGGAAAATTGTGATTAAATTTCATCAAGACGGTTATGATATTTATTCAATACTCTACCAAATGTTAAAAGATAGTGAATGTGATTTCTGAACACAAATCAAATAAAGTTAAGTTTAATTAGATATGTCTGCATGCGGCTGGATGCAATGCTATATTCCCGCTAGTGACAATATAGATAACTGAAAGGTAATGTCTCGAGTAAGACATTCAAATAAATTTCACTAGCTATTCTTTCATATAGAGGATATCCTTTTTAACGTGGTCAGATGTTTACAAATCACGCCGATCATTGTCATGGCAATGTAAATTCTCAAAAAAAAAAAAAAAAAAATAAGACAAATGGAAAATGAGATACGTTGTATGTTTACCTCCAAGTGCAAGTATCGTATAGTAGCGTAGTGTTAAAGGTTTGTACCTACCTGCATGAAACACAAACAGGGACTCAATAGAAACATGACAGTAGATATGCCAGTTATGTAACTCGCCTCCGTCATCGAATATCCGTGCAGTACCTCCAAATAATCTCTAAAATATATTATCACTACGTCAATTTCATATCAGCTTAGTGCAAATCTCTCGAGTTTTCGATTTCGGTGTAAATTTACAATGATTTCCTGCGATGTCAATCTTGTTTTTCTTTACTGACACTCATTTGACATTTGGGTTCATTTTTACTACAGCTTTTCTATATACATGTGCATAATAAAAGTTAATAATAAGTAATCAACAGCTAATGGCATTATGTCTTTTCGATTAGTTGCCCAACCACTTTGGCAATCTAGTTCTTAAATGCTGAAGTACTTTAAATACATATTTTTTCCAAAAATACATTTTTTTTTATATATTTTCATTGTATTTCACATTAAGATATTGATAAAGTGTGAACAAAATAGAAAACTGTCTTAATCAACATTTGGCTGGATTACCACACTTCTTCAAGCAGTGTAATAGTAACTTATATCGATGAGTTTTCTTACGGTAAATTTGACTGCTTAGTAATCCAACATGCAGATACTAATCCGCCACCAAGTACATACAGCCAAAAAACCGCAGACAGTTCCCGGAAATCGCTCAGTGACTACAACGAAAAGGATCAAGAGGTTAAATGTTAACAATCGCACTGAGGAATAGAGCATTTACAAGCGAGAAAGAAAATAACCCACCATTCTAATGTTGCTTGTGGTGTCCATTATAATGTCGGGTGCTTGTTGTTGAAGAAGAAATGCTAAGATAACTGCAAATACAACTCCACATCCGCAAAGTAATGCGCCTGTAATAAGGAATGGATTTCAATTATTTATGGTAAAACATAAAGCAAAATGATCTAAGCTGTAACGATGTAGTCACACCATACAATACGTATATCATGAATCTAATACACCGGAGTTTGGAACACTATTCAACACACTAGAAACCTACCGACTACTTTTTTCTCAAGTAACGAGCTATGTACCAGATTATCTATATGTCAGTTGTTAATGCATAGTCGATTACTTCATTATGTGGAAGATATTTTACAAGGAACCTTGTAAACACCAGAAATTTATTGACTACCCTTTTGCCTTAAGTACAAAGTATGTTTCGGATTAACTGCTTGTTTCATGGAGCGAGCAAACAGTCGATAATACAACGGTGTTGTTGGTGTATAGTTCTTGATCTTGTCAAATATGTAAATTAACTGATGGTATGATGAAAGATATATAATTTAAAACTAAAATCAACTAATTACTGCAACGAAGTTCGTGCTCAGCAGTAAATATTTTTGACAAGTAAGCTTGTGATTGAATAAATATTTATATGATTCGATTCGATAACTGATCTTAGTACATCATGACTAAGTTACGTATATAGATGATCTGACCACATAACAACGCTGCACAAGGTTTATTTGCCAAAAACATACTAATCCACATCGTCGTCTACTCCAAGGTTGTCAGCCATATTGCCAAGATCGCAGTGAAAATCTTCCAGATTTACACTGTTGAAAAACATTAACAAGCAAATTTTGTTACAGACTATTTATAGCTAAGTTGCTTATGCATTGTAACCTAACAACTTATAAATTCATGGTGCTGTAACTGTATAGTATTACAAAAGAAACGGTGGTTTATTACTTGAAAACATGAACAACTTACCGATACTTTTTCCTTACGGGGCAAGCTATATACATCTGCCTGTACATATATTTTTGTAGAGTTTAATTGCTTATGAACTTGGCGCATACAGTGGATTAAATAAGTGTGTCCTATCTGTATATTTTTAAACAAGGAGTTGTGTGCTAGCACTCGATTTGTATTCTACACAATGTACATCTTTTGATCATTGGATATACCGGCTAAGTTAATTTAATCAAAATCACAGATTCCAAGAATTATACATAAAAAATACATCAATATATAAATACTTACTGCTGCTTAGCTTGTAAGGATAAAAATGATAAGATATCGAGTAACAACAATACGTCCCGTATTTAGCTAGGAGAACTTCAATATGATAAAAGCAATGACATGAACCATGCGATAGGGACCTCGATAGCTTAGTCGTTTACAATGTTGGCATAAAAGTAATATCAGGTGAAATTGTCTGTGTAAAGTTTGACGCTGACGTGGCTGTGTCCTTGGGTAAGGTATTTTGCCGTCGTGCATCCAGATGCATGTGATGTTGTTTATTAAGCAGCCACTACTTGCTACATGGAGATCCCATCAATATGGCCTTGGCTGTAATAAACCTAGCTAGCCAACAATTAAACATAATAAAGATATTGCAAGTTTGGTTACAGAATAATTTTAACCGTAGTTCTATTGGTGGAGCTCTGGTATAACAATAATACCTAGCCATATAGCAGGAATTACACCCGCAATCCTTGACATATTAGGCGTGGCGTACAAGCTGATGGCCTGTCCGGGAAAACCGATTGCACTGAACGCCAGGGCGGTAAATATGTCGTCTGGGAAAGTATGGGCGACTACTCTGGTCTGCACAACTGACGATAATAAGACATGTAAAAAGAAGAAAAATGTCTATGCATTATCCGAAAAATACATAGACAACAGAATTAGCAGTTCTGGACTAAATAATTATCTCAGGATAACCTGATATTTTTGTACTTCTTCAAGAGTCTCCGTGTAATTCTTTCTTTTGTTCATATTTTGCCCTAGATGTACTGAATTTGGTTTATGTTTATGTTGACATATTGATATTTTCTCGTTGATTTTGCTTCGCCAGTGACAAATTGCACATAACATCAGCCTTGGGCACGATGCTAGATATCTGTTTTTTATACTTTCTCAGTAACTCAATCCCTCACGGAATCCAACAAGAAATTATAACACAACAATACTACAAACAAATATGTTGTGCTTTTATACAGTAACAAGCTATAATAGAAAGAGATAAAAACATAATTACTATATGAAATGTCTGCGTGTCAAAAAAAATATATGTACCTGATATACACTGATTGAAATGTTTGGCTTAGGTCAAGTATACATACAACGCAAAGGTCCGTCCACTAAGGCTATCAGGGCGTTCCCTATTACCATCAATATATACATTGGAGTTGTAACCGAGGCTTGTAACATGGATCCCACGCTGAACAGGACTGATCCTAGGAGTGAAAGGACACTTAATAAAACCGCAGAACCTGTGACAGGAAATAACAATAATTAGCAGGGACGAAAAGACAAAGATTATCGTTCTCTCATGGCGAAAAAATGAAACAACAAAATGGCAGAAATCAGCAACCATAGTTTACAGTAGTTTTTCGTTAAGTGTCCATCGGTAACAAATGTCTAGATAGACAATGATCAGCGATTCACGGCCGTTTGAATAATCATGAATTAAAAGACGTTGGCAAGTAGCGTCATAATAGCACAAGGATATGTTCTATTATAAAAATGGTTATAACGTATTATTAGCTTTAGCTTTGTTCAAGACATTAGACATGACCATTTTCTTATGCCTATATTGACGATTTAAACAATTGCCAAATATATGACATGATCATCGTGGAATGCATCATTAAACCGCCGTAGTTGCCGGCAGATATACGAATGTTTTTATTTGAATTTTCAAAACTACATCAGAAAGCGATCACTTCAAGATATACATGATTGGTATGATATTATGACTGCAGGCAAGATGTCTAATAACTTCATCCTTGTTTGCAAACATTGTTTTAATTCTTACAAAAAAAAAAAAAAAAGAACTAAGCTTCCTCAATAACGGAGGAATCATCACATCTTTCCAAATAAATGTTAACTGATCATGTTTCATTATAAAAAGCACATTGCCGATATGGATACAGACGTCCTTTCTGTGTTTATAATTCATAATATGATTATTTTAAACAATGCAATTTTACTCGCTCGTCCAGTTGTTCATCCAACCCTTTTAAGCCAAACCTGTTGATGACTATATAACTGAATACATAAAGGATATTATTTAAAAAGTGCTGTATTTGTATTTATATGTATATATAATTATGAATATTGTATATATGTGCATAGTGAAAAGTGTATGATGTGTAAGAGTTATCTCCCTTTATTTTTTGTGTTTCTGTATTAATCATTTTGTGTTATTTTCGTTTCAATCTTGTGAAAATACTAAGTGTAAATCAATTAATTTATTCTACTCCGGCCACTCTATAGAGAACATTTTTATAGGCTTTGCCTGTTATTTAATCCTCATTGACATTAACATATTTTGTCATTAAAATTTGTTGAAATGAAATGAAGTCTTTTACGAAGCTTCTTGCTAAATTGTGCCATTCTTAGTACAATCAAGTCAGGATTATAGTGTTATTGTTTTACTGTGTTTCACTGTTTACTTACCAAGAGGGATTTGTGAAATTTGTGAAAACTATTTTTGAACTTTGTACACACCCATAACCTATTCCAAACTCATTGAAGACCTTCATTCTCTTGTTCCTAGAACTTACTTTTCACAAGTGAAAAGTGCTATAAATATATGGTTGTGGCCTTTAATGAAGCGCATTTTGTTTAAAAAATAACATGCTATTTTTATGCAATATGAAGCTTGATGTATTTGATAAACGTTGATATACATGTTGGCTCCGTGTTGTTTATTTGGGAAAGGAGCGTTACTAGTCTGGTCGATTGACGTGGCTGGTGTTGTCGATGAAGCAGGTATCTATTCTTCCGGAACATCTTAACGTATTCCCCGTGTGATTTTCGTTTCTTCATGTTTTTCTTTAGTTTTACTGACTTTGAGGTTAGATTATAATTTTATTGTCATTTTAGTATTCTCTTATATTCACTAACACGTTTATGTTTTTTTCTCTGTATCTATACGGACACACATAAATGTAGGTCAATTAAAATTTACCAGCAGATAATGGAGATGATGTTATTGAATGGTGATAGCAAGTTGACACAAACTTACGGCCATTCCCAAGCCTATCGGTCAAGAATCCGAAGGGTAGAGACAAAGCAGCTGAACTGCAACAAATAGCGGTTGACATATCTTATTCAAACATAAATCGTTTGTAAACATAAAAGGTGCACTAACATTACATGTTAATCTTGTAAAAAATAGAAATGAAGAGCTAAAAAAATGCCATACGATTTAAAATTCCGTTCTTTGAAAAAAGACACTTTAATGATTTAGTATTTTACACTTACGTCCATCTTGAGACAGAGAATAACAGGTTATAGCGAACCTCTCCTAATCCTAGGCATACTGTACAGTAGGTATGTTCATTCGTGTTGTTTGTTTCAATGCCAAGGTCCTGTAAAAAGAGATGTTGACGTACCACATATTTAAGTGAAGTCTAACGTTAAGTTATTTTGTTAATTCCGTTGTTGTGTATTTTGTTTGAATTTGATGACTTACATGGATTTACCAAATTTTAAACGGCGAGTGTTGCGGATGAAGCAGAAGACGCTTATTCTTCCAGAACACATTTTCTTATTTTTCTTGTATTTTGTTCAGGGGTCTTTCTTTTGTTCATATCTTGTTCTAGTTTTATTGACATTGAGTATGGATTATGCTTATTTTGACATGTTGATACTTCGTTCTTCTTGGACTTGTCACTGAAGGTAATGGTCTGAAACCTAGGAGGCGTGCGATGAAATCAAAGTGATAAAACAAACGTCCAAATATAAAAAGGGAGGTGCACTCGGCCTGTATTTCAATATATCTAGTAATTTTCATTTTCATACATACATATTATATATGTATATTCATAAGAACGTCACGAAAATACGATGTTATGAACCGTGCCACAAATGGATTGAATTTACATGAATGATACCTCAAACCGTGCCACAAATGGATTGAATCTATATGAATGATACCGCAAACATTAAGTACTGAAAAAATGAAGAATAAATTCATTGCAAATCGAATTCGATATATCAGTTTTATGTATAATGTGGAACCTAAAACATATAAAAAGAAAAGCTTAATAATGCTTATCCTATGTTTTAGATGTGAAAATTAAAAGAAAGTTAAAAAGTTAATCTTGTGTCCTGCTTACAATATTCTATCAATAACCACCTATAGCATGCTACATAACCTTTTTATACAGATTTTATTGTCAGTTTCCATATGCTTTTCAATCAATCACTAAGGAGCATATAACATAACTAAGAATATAGCATGCATTACTTAATTTTACCTGAGTTATGTATTGATTTTGTTGTCTGATTTCCTTAAGAAAAGAAATATCTTACCATCAACATTTATTACTTTTGACCGCGTTTGAAGTATATCTTAGTGCTTCCTTGAATTATCCTTCACTTTACGTATATACATGGAGCATGCTATCATTTTACAAAATATTCACTAAAATGTTTTTACTGTAACTTATACGAATATATAAATTGGTATCATTTATGACATGAACAAATGTATTTTCATGACTGCAAGCCAAAATAAAACAAAGCAAATAAAACTCATACAAATACACAAATCGACCTATTAATTCATAACAAACTAAATTAAAACTAAATCCTTGGACCCTTCTTCAAAATAAATACTGTACAAAATAAATAAGTATGGGATACTGTTTCTCTGTTATTTAGTACTTATTTATTTATCTATTATTACAGATTTTTGTAAATTTTTGGAACGTTTTAGAGCAAATTTTGCCTGTTAGTGATATTCATTAGTAACATCTGCTGTGTGAATATAAGATAAATTTACAATGAAATTTATTTTTGTGCTTATATATTTTGAGGACATTTTTTTCTCAAACGTATTATATTTTGTCGCTTACTTCGAAGTTATGAGTAAATATTGCCGTGTAAAGCATAGTCAGCTTCGTCCTATTATATCTTATTGAAATATTCCAGAATTTTGGCTATTTTGTTTGTGAAAATGTAATAAATGGAATATTTCATAGAGTCTTCCGTAATAATAGATATATTTCATCGTGTGTTGAATATCATTTTTTTAAATATTTTAACATTTTATGTATTACTGAAGATGTCTATCCTTGAAACTGTGATTTCAAACCTGCTGGCTAAAGTCGTTGAATACTGAATACTACCACTATAATGACTACATTTAGTATTGCATTTTAATATATATACATGTCGGTTCCTTGGAACGTATTTGGTGCTTAAAATTATTGTACATATAGTTTTATGTTTTGAAATAGTATTATTTCATTTCAACTAAAGCCAATAAACGGGCGACACAAATTAAACTTAATCACCTATTTGTTTATGTCATTGAATCTGTTTTGATTGTAGAGCAGTACTATACCAAATATAATGTCAAACAGGACTCTAGAAACATTCTAGTTCACTTGTACTAAATGTTATATCCGTAATAAAGATATAAACTCAAGTGGAAAAAAAACATACTTACCTTGGTATTCATTATCTCGTTTTGTAAGGCAATTGGGATTTGCATAGAGTAAAAGGCTCCAAAAACCATGAAGCTGTTGCAGCATAGCACCAGATATCGCCAGCATGCTGCAGGAATAATGTATTAAACCGACGATTCAACATTTCTTGTTACAGACATCAACATAGAAAAGTAGCCAAATAAGCACAAATGTTAATGTACACTTAAGACATAACACTTTCCATCTCTGTCCGTTCGCATGCTGCCTTGATTGTGCAAGTCATCGTCCAGTTACATGATACCACAAAGGGGGTCAGAATGCAAATGAATACTAAATGCATCCGTAAGATCACCCTCGATATTTCAGTGGTTACGCTAAGCATCGCTATCTGCACCCCTGGAATATTTCATGACAAAATTGAAAAGACAAGTGAAGTAATTTGATTTGCCTGCACCGAGTTTCAGGAGAAGAAACTGACGAATGTGCATAAAAAATCGAACTACTCTACCCGTCTTATACACAAGGAGTCGTACAAGAATCCTTCAAATTTGCCATGAAATGTTCCTGTGGTTCAGATAATAAGCATAACCCCTGTAACCTATGTAGTATCGAGGATGCAGTGATATAAACGCAATAATTAATGACACTTAACTATATAATTATATGGCTCTTTAAGAGGCAAAATATATGTCCAAATCTATCAAGGACTCACATAATGGAGATGCTGAAGACATATTCCTTTATGGATTTCATATTGCGAGTATGTAATATCAGCTGAACATTGGCACCAAGAATAATGAAAATCAGGGAAATGAAACCGACTCCGAACTACAGGTATAATCCAGTTGACTTTCGAAATGATACTCCTATACGAAAACTCTCATTAAAAACATGCCATACACATTCAAATATTCCCTTATTAGTCTTTATAGACCCAAGATCTTTATCACCACATAAAAAGAGGACTCTCACCCGAGAGGTATATATAGATTAATAAATCAACATCGCATGGCAAAACATGAACCACACACGCGCTATTAGGTTAAAAAGCAAATGATTTTTGTCTTCATGTAAATCATCTGAAATATAAACTGAAATATGAAAACATTTATTTATCTTAATTTATAAGAAGATAGAGAAACATCTTAAGAATATATCTTACCTGTCATCATCGGCGGCTTCAAGTACACTCCCTCATACTCCTTTTTTCATTTTATAGAATGTACACAATGTCCTGATGGTTGTGAGCCTTTAATATCCTATAGGTATGTATCTTACTTTTTAATGACGGAAAATTCTACATCATGCATGACTTAAAGTCCTCCAGCATTGTCTATCACCTGCCAGCTCAAAGATTGTTAAAAACATATATAAGTGAGTATATTTTAACACAAATTTAGACGAAAAATGCTATTGAGTGCATTATAGCGACCAGAAAATTTCATATAATACACGTGTCCAAGAACCCCACATTATCTAGATGTGAATACAGAAATTGTAAAGCCACCGTCTGTAAACATCCTGTTACCTTGAGTTGAACATAATATCCGTTTTACTTCTTCGTGAATTAACATTAAGATGGGAAATATTAATACTACATAAAAGCCATGTGTTTGATTCAACACCCTTACAGCTTAACAACAATATCTAAATAATGAAATAATATTTGAACACATATATATCTCATATTAACAACGTGTTCCAAGTTGGTATAAAACTACTCTCGGTTCACCCATTGTCAAAGAAAAGATGCAGAGCAGGAACTGAACGGGAAATGAGACATGTATACTTACATTATAGATGAAAATACATTCTGAAATCATTGACACAATAACAAAAAACGTTAAAACAAACAGCATACAAAAGCACGGTTATATCAGAATGAGATGGTGTCACAGCATGACTCCACACTTATTTATCTATCTAATCCTATGTTCTTATGTATCAGACACAAGATGATGACTTGGAACAAGCCAATAGTTTTGCTTACATTTTATGGCCAGTATTATTATAACAAATATAACCTATGAGTAACATATACATACAAGGAAAATGACAGAAACAGGCTAAGACTAAATGAATGGGGTGTTACAAAGGTAGATGTTAAAAAACCGAAAACAATGGAAAGACTACATCGGAATCTTATGTGCCTACGGGCACGAGGAGGAAAGGTTAGGTAAGGTAACAAATATAAACATAAGTGTAATAGTTTCATAGATCATCTTTTAGATGATGTTTTTCTCAGAAAAAATGCTCAAATGATGTACTGCACTATACAATTATTGACTCTATAAGAGGTTAATACAAAGGTTTATCAACCGGAAAGCAATATTCACTGAGGGACAATTTACTATACTTTAGGTAACGTGCCTTGACAATCACAAGACTTCTAGTCTTGGCTAGCGCCCCATTTATGTATAGCTTAGAAGGCGGATGGGTTTTCGAGATTGTATGCTCCACTGCTCGAAACTGAATTTCTGGTTCAAAAGTGTTCGGTCACCATTGCGATGTGTTTACATTATGAAATAAAAACATCTGATATAAACAGTCCCTGAGAGGTAAGCTGATAATTCAATCTCAACAAAATTACACCTTCCGTACACTTTTACGAGTCCCTGGTGGTTCGGAATCACGGAAATACCAACATGGCAATAAAAGCATACTCGAAATTCAACACTTCCATAACACCAGGGCAATATGTTAACAAAATAAAGATTAACACGGAGACATCTGCAAAAGTAGAAGGAGAATAAGACCATGTGTTCCGGAAGAGTAAGCGTCTTCTGCTTCACGACACCCGCCATATAAATCTTGGTCGGTCCAAGTAAGTACTGTTACACTCTCAAATGAATACAAAGTATGCAACAACGGAACCAACAGGCAAGCTAATGAGCATCAGACACGCCCAGCGTCATATCACAAAAAAAATAGAATGTTTCTCAATAAGATCACAATGGCGACTCAAAACTTCCCCATAATTTGTTTTTGTTGGATGTTCTTACCACCAAAGTCGACAAAGATGTTTTCAATATGAAACTCGATCATTTTATGATTTTGTCCTCCGTATATTTCTTCTTTGATTTGAACGTATTATTTTACTTTATACGCTTAAGTATAATCCATAACCATATATTTATACCACTGTTCATCTTTCGCGGAAAAGGAAGCTATCGTAACAAGACAACAAACTCGTTCAATTAGTTTAGAATGGAGTATGTTTGTGCACAGAGTGGAAAAATGAATTGTTCTCTAACATATAGAAAGTGTTAAGTTATTTAGCCGTGTTCCCATGAATGTTTTATAAAAAGATATACACTGTATGAGTGTCTATTTTGTTTTTCAAGCTGAGCATACCGTTGAAAAGTGAACTTCAAGCGATTCACTGTTCCAAATCCAACGTAACGCGAGATTAAACTGCTAATAAACGACCGAGGTAACCTGAATATATGAATATATACCGTTGGGAGTCTACAGGTAGCATGACCAAGACAGGTAAGCAGTGCATTCGTCGATTCTTTGCTTATTCTGTCGTATTCGTTCTGGTCTAAATTATTACTTTAAATGTTAGATATCGCAATCTGTGTATATGTATACCTGTATGAATTTCAGCATCTTCGTCAAGGAACAAATATACATAAACTGACTAGTGTACCATTTTATGATCCTTTACAGTGTGCTGGCGGTACGGCGTTATATTTTGCAACACTTTTCTCATCTTCGGATTTTATTATTCAACTGTTACTCCAACAGGAGTGCAAAATGAAATTATGGGCACAAATGTGAGTTTTTCTTGTTGGCAACCACAATATTTTAAACATCGCTTTCTTCAATAAAATATTCCATAAATTCAATACAACTCAAGTCTGCTACACTTTAACTACTGATTAACTACTTTACAGTGTAAATATCGTTTGGTCAAAAATATAATAAAATGTCTCAAGAGAGGGTTACACGCTACTACAAATTAGACTACCTTATCTTACCCTTCTCAAAATGTGACACAAGCAAATGAGTAAATGTGATGACCGACATTTGAAAAAGCTATAATATCAACAAAATAGCATACTCTAATAAATGGCTATTAATGCGTTAAGCCAAGATCACTTTTCAGGATAAGAATTTCTTTTTTTAAACTTAAATGCTTACATGCATTCTGTTATTCAGCAACAGAACTCTTCGAAAAGGAAAAGCGACATTAGAAACCAGACCGACTGCGAGGTGTGTTTAGGTCTCGGAGAGGTCCGTTATAATGTACTATTCTCTACCATGAGATGGGCGTAAGTGGGTCTTATATATAAACACGAATTATAATAAAAAAAGGATAAACATTTAATCAGCGTTTTGATGAGCTGTGCAAAATTTGTTATGCAAATTTCTTCCATAAGACATAAGTCGTATTAATTATATCAGAAAAGTGTCGATGAAAAATTATTAGCATAAAAGAAATGTGCATCTCGTCCTACCGAAGTTGTTTGCTGGTTTCAGGTCAGCCATTGTGTGTGTCCCCTCTGGTTACATGCTCGATAGGCTAGGAAACAGACGTAAGTGCATATGTGTATCATACATTTACTTACTAACAACATTATTAGATTTTAGAAACATTGATAACAGTTTGGTTTTTGATTAATATATCATGCAGTGGATCAGAGGGGATATAATGTATGTATAACATGTGTTATTGCTTGTTAAACATACAAATCATTAATGTTTTCTTTGGTATACTAATAGATGTTTTAAGTCAAAAGACCAACGTTTTTTGAAATTGTTTAAAAAGTTACATTAAAGTCTACATTCTAGGACACCATATGCATTTATTGATAAGATTCTTGGATCTTCTAACTATATCCAGTTAAGTCTTATTTTTAGTTGTTGTCTGTTGGTGTACCGCAAGAGTTAATATAACAAAAAACGTAATTTCTAAATACCATTTATCAGATTAAGCTACCTCTTCTGACAGGAATGTTTGAATCGTGGTTAAATATGTTAGGAAGGTAGTAAATAATAGCAATCTTGTGAATATATGAAATACTAATCTGGAACTCTTTGTTGGATTCCAAAGTTGTTAGAATTAGGAATTACGTTTCTGATAGGATGAAACAACTGCATGATACAGATTAATTGATTTTTGGTTCTTCTTTGTCTAATCCAAATTTTATATGAACATGTGCCGTTTATAAGTGAATGTGTGTCTTTTGTACAATCATCGAAATACACTTTCTTATATCTTTACTCTAGGTTCAGCAATACTTTTGAATGGATTGACATTGCTTGGGTCAGTCTTGTTCACCGTTGGAGCCATTTCGCATGCCCCGACAACCACACCCCTGTATGTACTGATGGTGGCTGGACGAGCCATAATGGCCGTGGGAGATGGATCTATCCGATGTATGTAATTTCATGATAGTATTTGACGTTTCTTATAATGTCTATACGCAATAATTATACAGCAAATTTTGATTGAAATAATATGGCCTGTCTGAGTGCTAGTACGTTGTAACGTAAAAATAGCACTTTGATGATAATAAACTATATTAAAACAAGTTTCGTTCTGTTTTTAGTGCTTCAGACAAGGGTGATTGCCTGTTGCTTTCCTGGAGACACATTTATACCACTAGCGTTTGCTACGACGGGTCTCAGCGGACAAGGTTTCAGTTACCTTGTAACTCCAAATGTAGCAGCGGCAGCAGGGTTTAGTGCCTCTCTATGGCTAGGTACGTAATAACAATGAGTAACAATGAGTATTTGAATAATTATTTGGTTATGTTATATCCTTTGCATTACTGACTAGTCGTAGAAAAACAAAGGATGAAACACATGCATACACCTCAAGGCGATGGATGACTGTAGTGTATCATAGTCTAAATCTGTTTGGATTGAAATAGGGTATAGCGATACAGGTGATGTTTCTGGGAAAACAATTAAGTTATGCAATCGTGTGATTTTTGTAATTGCTATTACTCAGTTACTGTTTTTGGGACTGCTTTAAAATTTTATTTTCCATTACATCAGATTATATATACTTCCGTTACTTTTTTATTTTCTTTTTATTTGTTACTTAAAGGTTTCGCCATCTGCGGATTCAGCTTCTGTTGTTCCGTTGTTCTAGCGGTCCTTCTCCAGAATCCTTGTGAAGAACACGGTATCCAAGAAAAAGAAATACCAGTGAGTATTGATTAAAAATTTTTTTATCTAAAACAAAAAATTGAAAAAAAAATATGTGTTTTTGTTGTAAATAATCTATCATAAAATGCAAATACCTATGTTTGTAGACACTGAAAAACATACGTGCCCTTCCCAAGATATTTTGGCTGTTTATTTGGACAATTGCATTTGGTTTCGCACCATGGATCTGCAAGCAAACTAATTTACCGTAAGTACACCAGAAAAAAATCATCATATATGCTGTTTCTTTTGACTCGATAACATATCCAGTTAACACCTATACAATTGTTTTCATTTTCATATTGAAGGGACTTTTTGAAGTTAAAGTATGGCTATACGATGACAGAGGCGGGATACATAAATAGCGTCCCTTGTTTTGTTATGCTGTTTGCTCCTGCCGTAGGTGTGCTGTTGGTAAGTGTTTTAGGCGTATATTTTAAGTTAAGACATCAGATATATAATGGTGGACAGAACACAATGCCCAAGTTTGGAGTCATAGAGCTTTCTTGGTATTTACAAAGAGGATGCTACTCGTTTTGTCATATTTTCTGCAACTGTCATATGTTTTCTATTTGGAAGTAGATAAGGCACTTTTTAAAGGCATGATTATATAAAGACTGGTTTTGTACCCTGATTCTGTTTTTTGACATTTTTTTTAATTTGCATATAATAGGGTTTACTCTAGCAAATAACTCACATACGTCATTGACAATCGTTATGTCACATTGTAATCTCGATAAAAGTTTCATTGATCTATAGTACAAGCCATGTATGGGAGCATATATCCGCGATTCATGATCGACAGTAATAAAAGTCTTGCCTTTTTCTTTCAGAGGAGAATTGACTGCAACGGGGTTGTACTTATATTTTCAATAGTAGGCTCAATAGTACCGTTTGCATTACTGGGATTTTGTCCGGAAATTCACCCTGCCATCTTAGCCATTGCTGATGGAATATGCATTGCAATAACTTCGGTAAGTGGATTTAATGAAGTGTCTGAAAAACATTTTGGAAGGTCCTCTTCTTATCATCTAGAGTGTACTTGATATGGCTGTGTTGTAGGTAATTCAAGTGCAGCTTTTGGTAGTTATCAGTCCCGCCGCCTTTGTTGGAACTCTTGGAGGCATTTTGTATTTGGTTAGGCACGTTATTGCTGCATTCCTCTTACTAGTCTCAGGATATGTATTGGAAAAACCAGAAAGGTCAGTATCCATTAACGTTATTGTATTCAGCATTCCTATGTACACAAACTAATTAAGAAAAAAAAACAGCTCAAGTTTACTGATTTCATGACAAAATATACTACCAAACACACATACTATACACATCATGATTTAGAACTAGAAAATTGCCGATATCATTTATTATTTAAACCAGTACAATCGTCATGATAGAAAAAAAGTGACTGAGCACTTATGAGAAATTTGTTGAATAAACGAGAAATTAAACAGAACGCTTTCTCAATTTTGTTGATCCAAATTGATTTTTTTATATATCTGAAAAATCAAGAATTATTTTGTTTACAATGAGAATCATTATTCCATAATTATGTCGTTGGCGATACTGTATGCCAGAACATGTATATTTCAAAGTTATACATCTTGGTATCGCTACTGTTCAAATTTACAGAAATGTTTTGGTGAAAAGTGTTCAAAAATAGCTTTAACGTTGGTGTCTGGTAGTTTTGATTAACGATAAGGTATATGCATTTTTTTTAAAAATGTATCATACTTACGAAGTTACAACATTGTGCATTTCTTGTGTCTGTTATTCAAATTAACAGCAAATTGCCGACAGTTCCATATCTATTTACAGTACCTATGTTCGATATCCTAAATTATACCACGGGATAATTGTTCAATGGTTATAATTTTCTTGAATGTTTACATGTAATATACACTAGTTATGATGAAGAATCTTGGTTCATTAATGCAATCGTCTCGATCAACTGCCTTAGTCTGCCTAGGTGTAAAATATATGTACAGATAAAAAACAACCCAACTAAAATCACTTCTGCATCGTGTAGCTTGTATACAAGAGATCCCATATACACCTTTATATCTGTGTCAAGTTGTATAATTAAAAGTATAACACTTACAATCAGTAAACTAAAGAATTTGGAAAAAGCTATGGATTCATGTAGATATCATGCACATGTGGATTCGGACACCCGTATATAGTACATCGTTGAGTGTCTACTCAATAGAAACTCATTTTATAATTAAAATCGTGGAAAATTCATTTCTATATGTATGTGGCACTTGAAATATCACCTCCACATGAGAGTGTCAAAGAACAGAATATAAGTAGCCAAACTGCTTACACAGTGAATGTCTATTCTGAAAGATGTATTTTCTGAAATCAGAATATAAGCTATGTCTCAAAATATCACATGGATTTTGGTAATACGTTTTTTTAAGAGAGTTATTATAATAATTTTCCACGATACGTCTAATATTGACACTGTCTTTACCATATTATTGATTGCATGATGCAAGTTAATTCATTAATTTGGTCTATTTACTGCATTCTGTGATAACCCCAGCCACTCGTTTATTACATGATGTGATTCTATCGCTTTATTGCAGGTATAGGGTGGAGATTTAAGATGCCCTGATAGACAGTATTTCTTATATACATTTAGAAAATGTATTCCTACTGTATTAATAGAAGATGTGTTTTCAGAAATTATAAAAAAAAATGTTATATTTACAGGACGGACATCGCAAGTGCAATGCACTCTTATCAGCACTTTTTCCTAATGTTGATTCTTGTAACATCTATGAGTGCATTCTGCGTTGTAGTGATGAATGTTCTGGATATCCGAGATGTAAGTTTACAAATATTTTCGAAGCTCCCTCAGCATTTTTTCACAAAACAAATACTGAGTTTTCTACATTCTTTGTCTCGATGTCTTACAATGAGTTATTGACTAGATTTATTTTAGGTTAGGCGCAGCTAACAGTTTGTAAAAGTCATCCACTGAAGATGATTGGACCTTTAGTTTGTTTCCGAATACAAAATGTTTGAAACAGCATTATGACTCAGTTTTGTTCATTTTCCTTCTTAAAAAATACAACAAATTCCGTTTATTCCATTCCTCCTCTACCCAAAGATGTGAAGTTACTTTGTTGGACAGCACAATGTGAATTATTTGATGCTTGTTAATTATTTGATTTCCTTCAGTCGCAATTCATATTTCCAAATCAATGCCCTTATCATCACTTGGGAGTCACAGAGGGACAAAACAGCTGTATGGTGTAGCTTGATTCATTGTTTGGGTCTACGGTACCATGTCCTAAACTGTCATCAAAAAGGAAGTGACCACTTGTGTGGGTTTTTCAGGTCTACAGTATTACAGATAGTAGATATCACTGACGGAGTTTTAGTCCGTTACTGGTCCTGACCTGCATGTCACTTTTAAGTCTTATGGGTATTGGCATGGTGCTTGATGTTTCTTTAAAATCATCGGATAAATGGATTTTACGAACTAATATTTTACATTGCATATAATTCTAAATGTCTGCTGAAAGGTACTATTCATTTTTTCTGTCTTTTGTGGAATTTTCATACTTTTATAATACGTGTGTTATGTTTCAGGCATGTTCTTTAAACACGAGAATAGGCAAGTGGAGGAAATCCGACGTGGAATCAACAGAATTAATGTCAGGAATTCAATCGTCGAGCAAATATTCCTGAATAATTGACTGCCGCGGCATGTTTACATGTTGCTTCGCTACGTTTAATGTGTAAACCTTCCAATAACAATGAAATGATGTAATGTTTTCAAATATCTACCTATATTGGACCTTGTGTAAGAGGAGTAAATATCAACTGACAAGTCAAGTTTTCATGGTGACTTCTGTGTTTACGTAATTTGCTATTGTAGAATACGTCTTCAAATACGCTTACAATTACATACATTTATAGAATAGTTTAACTGGTTTCATTTTGTTTGAGATCAAGCCTTTCTGCAACATACTCAAGTAGTGTACAATTTTACCATTAAAACATTTTATATATTGTGTGAATGGCTTCCAGTATCGTTGTTATAGTTGAAATAAAATGTGTTGTATAAAACCATTGATAGCTACCTTTAGCTGGGGGGTCTTTATACACAAATATGGGTATAACGATTGAGGTAAAGATTATATTGTAAACTGTTAAAGTATGCGAGACTGTATACCCCGGCAA